TGGTGAGATCTGAGCTGATCCTGACTGGGCCCCTGATTTCTGGTTCCTCAGAGCATCTGAGTGGGGCTTCCCTCTTCTGGTAGATTCAGGGGGTCTAAGTTGAGTACCCTTCTCCTGGATTTAAGGGGTCTGAGTGGGAATAACCTCTCTGGTAGATTTAGGGTTTCTTGGTGGGGTAGCTCCTTTCCCTGGTTTATTTAAGATATCTGGGTAGGGGAGCCCCTCTCTCTGGTTTATTCATGGTATTTGGGTAGAGTAGCCCCTCTCCCTGGTAGATTAGGGGTGGTAGTGGGGGGTAACCCTCTCCTGGCTTCTGCTCTGCTGCTGTGTCATCTCTTCCCCCAACCTTAGCAGGGAACACAGGGTCCCCTTTGCATGTTCTTGCCAGATATGATGGCACACTTCTATAATCCCAGCACTCCTAAGGGGGATGGGAGGTGGAGACAGGAGGAGTGCACAGAAGCTCACAGGCCAGCTGACCTGGAGTATGCAGTACAGCAGCAGAAATGGGAGAGACCCTGCCTCAACAGGGTGAAAGGTGAGAACCAAACCCCACAGTTGTCCTCTGACCCACACGTGTACTCCCGCACTCACACAAACACATGCATACAATTAATGCCAAAAGAAACATTTTTACAAACTATAAAATAGCCACACTTTTCAGGAGGAAATGACCTTCCTTTAAAAGGCTTCCACACAGAGTGCTGTGGCCTTCCTTTCATATGGGCTACAGCCCTGGGGTTAGCTAGCCTCCCATCCCCAGCCCTTCTCACCATGAGCTCCCTGAGGCCACTTCCTGAAAGTGGGTGCCCACTTTCCAGTGGAGCAGCCTGCTGGGGATGAAAGGGCAAGCTGCAAATCAAGAATTCCAGCTTAGCTGACAGAATTTGCTATAAAGGTTATCTACATAGAGACAATATTCGGTTTATATAGAGACAGTTTCAAGTAAGACTGTTAAAATATTAATGAACCATATTTAAGGCATAAATGCATATGACCTTCCAATATGGCCTATTCCTCTCCCAGATACAAACCTGAAAATTTCTGGGAATCTCACCTGCAAGACTATAAATTTTGCAGTAAGAAATCTTTCTTAAATCTTCTTTAATCTCAGGACTTGGGAGGCAGAGGCAGAGGCAGGTGGATCTCTGTAAATTCCAGGCCGGCCAGCACTACATAGTGAGACCCTGTTTGAAAAATAACAAAAATAAAAAACAAAAAATAAAAGCTGAATGTGGTGGCACACACCTTTAATCCCAGCACTCAGGAGGAATGGGGGTGTGGGGGGGTAATAGCTCTGTGAGTTCAAGTCCAGCCTGGTCTACATAGTTCCAGGCCAACTGGGGCTACAGAGAGACTCTGTCTCAAAAATGAAAAATAAAAATAAAAATTTTAAAAAAGAAACCTTAACTTCCTTACAACCATTGTACCATGGTGACCTGGGGTTTCACCTAATCAGCTGCCAATCAGCTAAGTACATACCAGGAACTGCCCTGTGGTCTAATTTACAGAAAAAGTAAAGGTTCATTAGCAACCCTTGAGATATAACTTCTGAAGCCACCAAATTCATATATATGGTCAAGGCTCTCAAGTGGGACTCTCTCTTGAGAAGTCCTTAGCCATTCTTGGCTGTTTCTAAGCCTTTCCCATCTACCTTTCCAACACCTTACCTACTACCTAAATGTTAAAATCTCTCCAACTCAGCTTCATACTGAAATTAACCCTGGCCTCACCTGAGTGAAGGTCTCTGAAAAGAACTCAGGTTGCTTGGTACAGCTGTGTGGAGTTATGGCTCCAGCCCAAGCCCAGCTGCTGGTGATAGCCCCAACAAGGTCACACACAAGATTGTGCAGTCTGGCCAAAGTGCATGCCTTTAGCCAGTGATTTTATGGAAAGTTCTGATCCCAGCCATCCTTTGAGATGCTTCCTCATGGAAGAGCCCCATAATTATCCTGATCTCCAGGGGGTGGGAGCTTTCCAGAGCAGCCCCTCTGGGATGGTTCAGAACCCAGACTTTGCTTCCAAGGACCTCCTGACTTCCAAGGCTCTGTGTCAGGGACATCCAGGATCTTGAGCTTACAAAGACTCCACGAAGCCCTGCCATGCAGAACACCACAGGGAAATGTGGACAGCCTACAAGTTGCCTCTCAGGGAGCCCTGGTGTGCTCCAGTGCCCCACTCTACATGGTGGTTAGTGAGGCTCCAGGGCCTACTTTCATTGACCTTATCCTGTGCCTCCAACTAACCAAGTCCCTTTGATTCCATCTTAGAATCCTCAGCTCTGACAAAGTCAGGCCTTATTGACAGACTACTCAGCCAGCAAGGCCTAGTGAGTTCAGAAAGAGGAGCCAGAGGCAGGCCCAGGTGTGTGCTAGGTGTGTGTGTGTGTGTGTGTGTGTGTGTGTGTGTGTGTGTGTGGTGTGTCACCAGCTGTCTGGCCAGGTAACTCTGGGACAGCCCCATGTGGCAGTACCCTTATAGTCATGAGTGGGTGGAGGAGGGGGCTGAGAGTCTCCCCACTAGAGCTGTGTAGTGCAGTGACTCTCAGAATAATGGTGCTGGGCTGGGGCCTGCAAGAGGGTGAGTCACCCTGCAAGATGGAAGCAACCATGGAGCTACTGCTAAGTGAGGGCTAGGGAGCTGTGGAGAGCAAATCCTGCCTCCTGTGGGAGGCAATTTACTGCCTGCCACCTTAAGCTTCTAGGCTGTCCTAAGAGAACACTGGTCAGTCTGCAAGCTCCACCCCTCAACCACAATCCTTTAGGCCTGGAGCCTCTGCTCTTACTTCACCAGTTTCTAATCACCCAATCAAAACTCAGCCCAAGTAAGAGTTACACAGCTTCCTGTCCACTTGGTAGCCCCTGCCTTGACCCCATCTTACCTGCAGGGCGGCCCTGCCAGGCAAGGGCCTGGGCACCCTGGGCCTCTGCCCTAGGGGTTTCCTACAATCAGAGGGCCAAAGGCAGAGGCAGAAAGAGGTGCAGGGGAGCCCATGTGCTGTCCTCACCAGCTCTGACCATCAGCAGCCCAGGAGATTCCAGCTGCAGGCTGAACCCCAGGTCTTCTGTGTCCCTTGGATTTCCATGCCCCCAAACCACTTCAGCCCTTCCAGAGTCAAGCAAGTCCTCAAGTGTGTCCCTTACTACACAACCCAACTTTTTCCTGCCAGACATCTGGGAGTTATCAGGATGTATCCTTTCCCACACAACAGGTTGACAGTTTTCAAGGTGTCCCACAGCCCGGTGTCTCACCAGCCTGCGGGTGTTCCCAGCCTGGGAGTTACTCAATGAGGGGCATGGGGAAGGGAGGTTCCACTGTGGTCTGCCCTCAGCGCCCAGGAGCGGTGGTGACCAGCAGACATCTCAGGCACTTAGGCACAGAAACTCAGTATCTGGACTGACCAAGTGGCAGCCTCCAGCCAGCCCTCCAACCTGGGGCTGGACTGGGAGAGGTCCCTGCAAGTCTCCAAAGTCAGCAGAACCCAGCTCAGGAGGGGATGCATGCCAAAGACAGGCGCTGGGAAGGGCCTGCCCCCTCGCGCTGCGGGACTCCGCCCAGGTTCTTCAGGGACTTTGCCGCCAGAGGGCGAGGGTGAGCGGCTCCCGGGCGGCCTCGACTGTCCTTGGGGCGCCCGAAGCAGGTCCTAGCAGGGCAAGAGCCCCACTCCGGGCCTCTAGGGGCAGGGCCCAGTAGACCGGTGGCCAGGGCCTCGTTGCTCTTCCCTGCGCCTCCAGTGCTGGGTCAAGGCGATGCAAACCAGGCTTAGGCGCCCAGGTCTCTAGGGCCGTTGGTCATTGCAACAGGCCCGGACCCTCGGGGCAGCCAGTTACGAGGTTCCGAGTCCGGTGCCAGAGCTTGCGGAAGCCAGAGGAGGCCCGGGGTGACGGTCAGGCGTCCGGCGGGTGCCGCCACCTCCCACTCCTTGCCTGGCTGCCCCGGGGGCCGGGCTGCGTGCGCCGGGGCCCTGCTTTTTCTCAAAGGCAGCTTTTTGCACTGCACACTAGGCGAGGCACGTTGCAGAGCTTGTCCATGGCGACCTGAGCGACTTGTCCGAGAGCTCTGGATGGAATGCTGCCCACCCCTAATGTTGGCCATGCCCCGCGTGTCGCAGGGCCTGGATACGGACGCCAGCCCTCTAGTCGCCCGAGAAGGCGCCTAGCATACCGGGGTGGCCCGCTGCCATGTCCCCTGTGCGGTAAGGGCCATACTAGGCCTCGGCAGGGCCCCACCAGTGCCCCTCGGCGCCCCGAGTCTCTTGCCAGGCCTGGCCGGCTTCCTGCACGCGCCGCCACGCACTCCCCCAAGCACCTGGGGGCCACCCGCACGGTGCGAGGCGTACGCTGCCCGGGTTACCCTAGAGCAGACCCGCAGGCAGGGGAACCCCGGGGTGCAGGGCTGGGGGTGGGGAAGGGCCCAGGGAAGCGCCGAGGAGAGGGAGTGGCCCTGGGACGCGATCAGGAAGGAGGTGGGGCGCGGGGTGGGACCCGGAGCAGGGGGCTGGGGGAGGGGCACGGGCCAGGGGAGTGTCCCCGCCGCCCCCTCGGCTCCAGGCTCTCCGGGCTTCTAGGGGACGTTCCTGGCCAGCGTGGCGGTGGGGTTGGCGAGCCCTCCTCCCCGCTCGGTGGGGCCCCGCAATGCGTGCCCAGCCCAGCTCCGCGAGCTGCCGGTGGGGTGCTCGCTGCGGGCGCACCGCCCCACGCCCTCCTGCGCCTGGGAGCCCAGCCCGCGGCCGCGCGCCCCGGCCCAGCTCCGCGGTGGCGGCCGGCAGAGCGAGCTTTGTGACGTCAGGCGGCGTCACGCGGGG